TTAAAAGATTTTTTTTTTTTTTTGAGACAGGGTCTTCTGTCACTCAGAGGAGCAGTGGCACAATCATGGCTCACTGCAGCCTCAAACTATCAGACTCAAGCCATCCTTCCACCTAAGCCTCCTGCGTAACTGGGACAACAGGAGTATGCCACCATGCCCTGCTAATTTTTTAATTTTTTGTAGAGATAGGGTCTTGCTATGTTGCCCAGGCTGATAAACTCCCGGCCTCAAGAGATCCTCCCACCTGCATCTTCTAAAGTGCTGGGGTTACAGGTGTGAGCTACTGTGCCCACCGCACCCATTCTTTATTGTAGTTATACAGCAGGCCTCTGAAGTGGGCAGCCTGGGTAACAAACTCCTATTTTACAGATCAAAAAATCAAAGCTTGAAGAGGCAAAGAGACTAACTCAAGGGCACTCAGCTCCTAAGAGGCAGAGGTAGGTCTCGAACTCACACCCCCTGATTCTCAATCCAGATGAATTCTCAGTCTCAACTGCTTCCATTCACTGCACCACAAATAGGGTTCACACCCCGAATTCAGCACTTCATCTCCATAGCTTCTCCCATGTGCCCCTCACGTTACCCTGATAAGTGGATACTATTATTACTCCATTTTACAGCTGGGGAAACTGTGGCTCCACCCCATTGCTTTGAACACCAGAGCCTCACAATCCTCTCTACTACTAACTCTTAATGAGGGTTAAGGCCAGATAACAATTGTCTATGTCCAGGGGACCTTCTCCCTAAATATGTCCTTGTTTGAGGTTCCCATTGGGAGAGAGAAATGATTCTCTGCAGGTTCAAGCTTCTGGCCTTGGAAAGGGGCAGGGAGGCTGGGGTGCCCAGATTCCAGGCAGGAGTGGCAGCATGTGCAGGAGGCACCAGACAGCCCAGTGGTAGCACCTTGGGGGCTGACAGGGGCTGAGAGGAGTCGTGTCTTGCTCCTCAGGGTCTCCCAGGGCCCCCAGCCCTGACCTGGCACCTACAGTGTGTGAATCACTTCCTTCATACACGTGATATGAGATCTTCCCAACAGCCCTGCTTTAAGTCTGTAAGACTGAAGTTTAGAGAGGAGGAGCCATTTGCTCCACGGCCATATGAATGGGAGAGGCATCACCAGGACTTGAACTTAAGGCCTGGTGAGTCCTGTTGGAGCATGGATCCCAGCTGCCTGCTGAGAAGACAGTCTTATTTTGAGTTTGCAGGTTCACCAGTCCTTAGGAGGGCCTGATTTAGCTGTGCAGAGTGAAGCCGGGGCTAGGGGTTGGTAGGGGACTGGTGGGCAGAGGACATGAGTTTCAGTTTCACTCAGTCACCCACTAGCCTGGAGACCCCAGTTTCCCCAGATGTGACAGGCATAGGGGGAACAGCATTGTATCCAGGTCACCCCCAGCTCTGAGAGCCTATGTGCTCCACCAAGCCCACTGGAAACTCAGGGGTACCTGTGGAAACCCAGCCCCTGGGACTTCCTGATTCATCAAGGTGGGGCCCAGGAATCTGCCACCATCAGGTGACCTTTAGGTTAATTAATGCATTAATGGGCTTCCTGACCCATACCTGTGGCTGGGCAGGGGAAAGGCAGAGGAGGGCAGTGGGACAGCATGGGAACGGCTGGTGTTTCAGGCTCTGCACATAGCAGAAGCCACAGGAGCTTTTCTGACCTCCAGTATGCAAGCTAGAGATTTCTTTCCTTTTTTCCCTTTCTGATCTTAGAGTTTATCAATTGCAGCAGCAAGGGGCTCACCTGCTCTGGCTCCTTGTCCTGATGCCAATTCACACCTTTGTGCATAGCCCTCTATAGTGTACAGGGCTCTCAGGCAGCTGTGGGCTAACACAGGGCAGAGATAGGCCTGCCAGGCCACAGATGAGAAGATTGAGGGCAGAGAGATAAAGTGACTTGGCCAAGGTCACACAGCTGGTCAGAAGTGGGGCTGGGCCCAGGACTCTCATCCTTTTGACCTAGAGTCAAACACCTGGGGAAAACCAAGGGTCCACAGAGGCCCCTGCTGCTTCTTGCCTGGAGCCTGAGAGCACTTGCAAGAAGCCCAGCTCTCCAGAGAATACAGTATGACCTTGGACAAGTCCCTGCACCTGGCTGGGCCTCAGCTTCCTTTTTTATAAACGGACCCAGCTAGGGACCTCAGAAGGCATATGTCTGCTTTGGCTTTCTTGGCATCACCAATTCCATAGGGTGTTGGAGGATGGAGTTGGATGGCAAGTGGTCCATAGGATGGCAGAGCGGTCTGGTCCGGCTGCCTAGGGCAAGGCCATGCCTGCCTGGGGAAGGCTCCTCTGCCTTCATCCATAGGAGATCCTCTTTACACTTTCTCTGAGTTGCTAAAAAAATTTAAGTTTTTGAGCTGTAGATTCCTGAAATTTTGGTATCCCAATTGGAACTGGCCTCGTGCCAAAGGGTCAAAGAGGGTAGGCGGGCACCTGGTGGCCTGCCTTCTGCCTCCCTCTGCCACATTCCAGCTGTGTGACCTTGGGTGAGTGACTTTACCTCTCTAGGTGCAGCATCCTCATCTGGGACGTGGGGATAATAGGGATGTGGACGTTCTCACTGAGGTGATACGTGCAAAGCAGTTAGCTGTGTGAATGCTAGCTGGGTTACTATTATTTACCCAGGTCCCCTGACCCATACCTGCGGCTGAGCTGGGGGAAGGCAGAGGAGGGCAGTGGGACAGCAGAGGAGGGCACCAGCATTTCAGGCTCTGCATACAACGTAAGCCACGGCAGCTTCTCTGACCTTCAGTCTGGAGTGGACTTCGGAGTCTGCTGAAGGTGTCCCAGGCCCCAGCTCTCAGAGACTCCACAGCAGTGGGTCAGTTTCCCAGTGCTAGGGAGAGGGCTGGTGGGGCCAGTCTGGGCTCCTGGCGGTCTGGACCACGGGCAGCAGCTGCGCCCCTGGCCACCTCTGTCTCCTTTCCAACTTTGGGCGGCCTTGAAGAACATCAATAACCCAAGATGGCCTTGCTAAGTCTAATCACAGCACTCTGGGAATATAGGCTGGCCCTCCCCCTACGCCTGTGAGAGGCTGTGGCTGCCACTTGGGATCCAGTATCCCTCTGTCCTCATTGGAAGTCCCTTAAGGGGCAAGTTTTCCCTAGCACCCACAGGGCCACCTTGGCTCCTGGAAGCTGAGGGGGCAGGTGTGTGTAAACAGCATCCGCAGAGGTGCTGCATCTGTGTGCCCATGGCCGTATGCTTACGTGTGCAACTGACATTCACCTGTGGGCACATTCCAGCATGCTGTGTGCCTGCCAATGCATGGGCAGGCACACAGCTGGCATTCAGATCCCCACATGTGTGTGTCTGTTGTTTTCACACCTGAGCCAGCTCTCACGTGGGCACACGTATTTGTGGCTGCTGCAGGCACGGTGTGCAGCCTACTGCACTCCTGTGTTAGTGGTACATGCATGTGTGGGCACGCTACATGCACAGGTGTGTGTGTGTGCACTGCATTAGTGTATGTGCTGTGTTTTGCACGTGAGCATGTGGTGGTCAGGAATGTGGGTTGTCTTTACAGGTGCCAGGGTGTGGGCATGGCCATTCCATATGTGTATATGATCTGGACATACATGACACACTACTACAAGTGCTATATTTGTATCTGTGAATATGTGGGAATCTGTGGGCATGAATATGCCCTGATGCAAATGGGACTAAGGTGTGAAGGTGACTAAATAATGGTGGCCATCAGCACCTTTCCTGGACCCCCAAGCCCCCACAGGACTCCCCCAGAGTCACAGCCCCTTCTTTGCCACTGCTCCTTCAACGAAGTTAACAGGCGGAGGCCCCCGAGGCCTGCGCTCCAAGCCCCCTCCTACTGCACACGTCAAAGGAGAATTTCTCCGGATGGCGCCTGCTGCTCCTGGAAATACCCCAAACGTCAGCTCTGCCTCCTCCCAGCGATTCAGAGAGCAATGCAGAAGAGGAGGGAGCCCCTTCCGCACTGGGCTCAGGACATGCAGTGTGGCACCAAGACCCTCTGCCGGCCGGTGGGGCTTGCCTGCTCACTTACCCTTCTGAAGGTCGAGCCAGGCTGGGCCTCTGCATGGGGGCCCCAAGACCCCCAGGGCCCTTGTCTGATTGGGGCAGGCCAGTCCAGAGGCCTCCCCCCCCAACCTGGGTGAGCAGAGGACAGCTGTGGTGAGGAATGGTTACTTGGCTAGAAAGGGGTGGCTGCCGGCAGCAACCCACCCTCAGGGAGTCCTGAGGCCCCCTGCTGCATTTTCCAATCCTGACCCTGCAGGGGGCAGGGAGGAGCCCCAGGTGCCCTAGCCCTCAGCTAGAGACCACTGAGGCTGGCCTAGGAAGTGGGCTTCTGGGCAGAGAGTGCGGACTCCACCACCCAGCATGACTGCTGCAAAATGGCCTGGCCACCCGTTCCTGCCACCCTCCTGGCCACGGAGGGGACCCAGGGACACGTCCCTGCCACCACATGACCCGGCTGGCCTGACCCAATGGGTACCGGCACACAGCTGCCCACCCCACCAAAGGGACCCTTCACAGGGGCCTCCCCTGCCTCTTGCCTGGGACTCTGACCAGGGTGGGCAGGGGGCACTCTCCAGTCCTCTTGGTCTCCCTGGGACCGGCTCAGAGAGAAGAGAACCTTGTCCCCCGCCACCAGCTTGCTGGCCCTTGCATAACATCCTTAGGGGGCATTTGCAGTCCAGAGGCTGCCGGAGTCTACCTGAGACCCCGGGCATCCGCTTGCCCGAGGCCCCCGTCCTAGTCCCCAGCATCCAGCCGTCACCCCCAACACGCGGACCCTCACACTAGTGTCTCCCTCAGCGGCGGCTCCCAATGCAGCCTAGGCTGCTACCAGATAAACAAGCCCTGCTCCCACCCCCCCCTCCACGCTGCCACCGCCACCACCATCAGCACTGAGAAAAATCAAATGAAATGAAACAAAATAAAATGGGTGAGGAAGGGGAGAGTGGAGTGGGGCGCTTTTTATTTTTTATTTTCTCATGCTGGGGGATGCCGGTACTTACTTGGTTATGAAAATCACCACCAATCCTGCACGGTTTCCCGGCGGGCAGCCCCGTAATCGCGGTGCGGCAGCTGGTGCCGCGGCTGAGCCCAGCCAGCGTGCCCGGGCCCCTCCGCAGACTGTACCATCCTGCCCGAGCGGGTGGGGGGCGGGGGGCGGAGGCGCCGGCGCCGGTTCTAGGAGAGCATCTCCATCTCGCCGGCAAAATGCAATCTCGGGGGAGGCAGAGGCCGCCCCTGCCGCTGCCGGAGGCTGGGGGAGGGGGGCGGGAGGACAAGGGAGGGAGGGACGCAGGGAGGGCCGGTTCTGGAGGGGGCTCGGGGGAGGAGAGTGGGGGGCGGGGGGTGTGTGGACCGAACCACCACGGTGTTGTTTGCGGTTTTAATTCCTCCCGTGGGATCATGAGGAACCGAAGCTGGCAGAGTCCCAGGAATATGCCCGCTCCCCAGAAGCAGGAGGGGAATGTCAAGGGCACAGAGAGGATAGGGCTGGGCTGAGCCGGAGGGAAGGGGTCCTGAGAGTGGCGGTGGGGGGAACCGGAGAGGAGCCGGAAGGATTTTGCTCCAATGGCCCCAAGCCATCCCTTGCTCTCTGGGGGACTTATTTGGTTGGTCAGGGGCTCTGGCCCCCCTCTTTGTAGCCAGGACACCCCCAGACCTGGGGGGGGCAAAGGGGCAAAGGTCGCAACGGGGTAGAAGTGGACTCAACACAGTCTAAACACATCTGTGGTTGCAGGGCCAGTGGAGCAGAGCCCGCAGCAGCTCTCTGCTGCCCTGAAGCGCTGCCCCTGTGACCTGCCCTGCCTGTGTGCGACCCCACCTGCCCGGGTGTGTGTGGGGGGGTGGGGGCTGGCCTGGCAGAATGGCCTGCCTCAAGGGGCCATTTCTCTGCCAGGTGCCCACCAGCAGGGGTGTCTGCCTCTCTGTACACCCACCTAATCTTCAGGACATCTATGATGAGTTGCAGGCTGACTGTATTGGAGGGCGGAACATTTCCAGGGGAACCCAGGGACCTCTGGTGAGGTGTCTGTAGGGTTAGAAGCCCCCAGCCAGCCGCTCACCTCTTCCTGCCTCATCTCGGGCAGACCTGCTGCTCCTTTAACTCCAGATGGGTGGGAGGTGAGCCCTAAGAGCAAGGTTAGGAGGTCACAGGGGGCAAGGGGCTTCCTAGAATTCTGAAGCCTCTGCCTTCACTGCCCTGCCCCCTCTAGGAGGGGTGGCCTGCATGGAGGGAGGTCACTGAAGGTGGAAGGACCTTCAGGACCAGTGTCTCAGGGAACCTGTCAGGGTGGAGGGGCACATGGGGGCAGGGGCAGGGCTGGAGGTGGCCCTGGGAGGCAGTTCCAGGCAGAAGGTGCCTCCTTCCCCTGCCCCCACCTCCTGCCCACCTCTGAGCTGCCCGCCCGAGCGTCCCGAGCTGCTGCTCCATCCCTGGGCTGGCACAGAATATCAATTTGTCTCGTTAAGCTGAAAGTCTGCACTGCACCAAAATCAGAACCCGGCCGTGTGGAGGGGCCGAAGGAGGGAGAGAGCTGGGAGCACCTGTGGTGGGACTCCCACCAGTAGGCCATGCTGAGACCTCCTTGCTCCTCACCCCCCAGCCCCATCAAAGGGTATCTGCCTGCCCCTTGGCCCACAGGATGGCCTCAATGCAGGGAGGATGCTGAGAAGCTACAGATGCCAAGAGCTGGGTGGTCATCCAAGGCCCTGGCCTCCACTGGGGCAGGGGTGTAACTCAGACGCCAGGCATGGTTCCCTGCTGGGGCTCCTGCAGAGCAGCCCAAGACACCCCTCAGGGAGGCTCTTGCCCCCACACCAATAGCCCAAGATTGGGAGTTTCCAAAGCAGCTTCATCTCTGTTCCATCTTGGGGGTGCAGATAGGGAACTCTACCCCTCTTAAGGGTATAGTTGGGGGGATTCCACTGGCCACCCCTCTGGGTGGGCTTCTACATCAGCAGTCCCTGATCAGCTCCACCCCAGGGACCAGAGCAAAGATGGGCAGAGGGGGAAAGGCCCACTGCACCTCCCATCTGTCACCAGCCAACATGTCTGTGCCAGGAATCCCACCATTATTACTTCAATATCTTTGGCGGTAAACCACTTTCCCTGGTTACAAAACAGCCCTGGGAGCAGCCTGTTGTGAGCCACACATGTCAACAATCACACTGCCTTCTGTGTCCAGCACACTTTACAGTTTGTAAAGGCCACCTGCAAAACGGTAAATCATCTGATCCTCCCAACTACCTCTGGGGTGGCTGCTGTGAGCACCCAAGGTACAGCTGGGGAAGCTCTGTGTAGTTCAGAGGGATGTAGTGTCCAGGGCAAGATGGCACACCCAGTAAGGGATTGACCAAACTTGTGACAGAGGCCTGTGGATTCCAAGTCCAAGGCTCCCTGCATGCAAAGGCCATCATGAGTGTGGGCTCACTGAGAGGCCTGACGCTCACCTGCTCCCGAGTCCTGAGTCTTGCCTGCCCACTGGTGCCTGCCTGGGGTGGGCTGGGCCCTCACCAATGTACACCAGCAGCCAAACTCTCAGACAGTTGTGGATTTTGGTTTCCAGAACCTAAGATTAGAACTGGCACCTGGCCAAGCTCCTACCTCCTTGGCATTCCGGGTCATGTGTCCTTCAGTGCCTGCATCTGCCCCCCCGTGACTGGATGCCCCCATCTCCTGAGCCAGTGCAAATACTGAACAGCATCGTTTGAAGGTTTTTCCTCGTGGGTATACCCCAATTCTAGGCCCGCAAACTCCTACTCATCCTACAAAGTCCAATTCAAATTCTGCCTCCCAGACAGTCCTTCTTGATTCTACCAACTGAATTGATTCACGCCTCTGTTCTAGCTCTACCACACTGTATTGTGATAACCTTCATGTCTGTCTCCCTCATTGGCTGTGACCACATCAGACATGTCTCCAGAATCCTAGGTCTCAGGTCCCAACACGTGGTAGATGGTGCAATAGAAGCTGGAACAAGTCTGCTTGCTGGACCCTCGAGAATGCCTATCTAATTCTCCCATTTTATAGCGCAGCAAACTGAAGCCTCAAGAGAAAGATTAGGCCTGCCTAAGGTCATTCTTGAGGGTGGAATCTGGCTACAGACATCTGTCCCCTGCCCTGCCCCATCCCCTGTGCCTTCCCTTCCTGCAGTAGACACACCTGGGTCATCTGGCGTGTCCTTCCAGGATGTGTTGGGGGGCAGGGGGTATTGGACAAGCAGAGGTGTTGTGAAATTAGGCAAACAATGGCACTAGTGTTGCAACTCCAGGAAGAGTGGAAACGACAGGTCAGGGTCAGCCACAGGGAAGAGGGGGAAAGAGGCAGGACGCCAGCTGGGAGGATTACTGATAGCTTCTGCCTCCAGCATGATTTGGCTTATGGTGGACACCGATTGAGAGTCAGGGTCAGGGAAAGGTAGAGAAATAGGGGAGCGGGAGGGAGGGGAGAGCCAGCCGATCTGAGTTTTATGCCATGTTTAGTTGGCCAGACTATGTTTTTCTCCCTTGGGGAGAGGTCCTGGGGCCGGGACACAGGGTGAGTGAAGAGGGTCAGTCTGTCTAGGAATGTGGGTATGGAGCTTGGTTCAGCCTGCTGGAGGCTTTCTGCACAACGGCAATAGAGGAGGTAAGTCCAGGCAAGTCTAAGTGGGGAGGACCGAATGTCATTAGAGGTCAGCTGTGTCCTTGCCACGAGATGTGAGCTCTCCGTTGTCGCACCTCTTTCTGGGAAGCATGGATGAGGACCACCCCTGCCCTTGCCTTGTCTGGCTTGGGGTCTGCAGACACCTGGGTAGGGGTCCTGGGCCCAGCTCTCAGGTCGCTGGTGTCACAAAGAGCTGTCGGTTGGGTTCCTCGGGGGATGAAAAGGTATTTCCAAAGGTTCTCACATTCCTGTCTCCTCTGACCCCCACAGGTCACCCTCAAAGAGTCTGGGCTTCTTTCCATTTTACAGAAAAGAAATGTGAGACCTAGAGACCACAGGGGCTTACTTACAAGTTACAGAGCCAGTGAGGACCAAAGCAAGATTGAGGGTCCCACTCAAACCCTAGGCCCTTCTCTCTGTGCCTGCCTAAGGTTACCCAAATTTGAAGCACACAACTCAGGATCTCTAGCCCCAGACCTTGAGGGGCCACGGACTGTGGATCCAGGGGACCACATGGCCTGGCTTGCCCCAAATCTCCTCTCCAGTCACACTGAGGCTCCACACCCACTCCCCACTCCCACCAAGGTCTGAAACTGCCTCAGCCAACAAGATCTTGAGTGGAGGCTTTATGACCACACAGACCTGGGTCCAACTCCTGCTCTCTCACCCACCGGCTGTGTGACCTTGGGCAAATGACGCAGCCTCTCTGAGTCCCAGTTTTTTCATCTGCAAAATGGGGATGATAATACCTATTTGGTGGGGTCTCAAGTTAAAGGGGAATGGCAGCTGTTATTAAAGGGAGAAACAGAAGGTGAGATTCTCCAGCCGGCCTCAGGGAAAATGCCGGTGGAGAGCAGGTGCCTTCCAACTCCTCTGGCTCGTAGATAAGGGTTCTCAGATATCACCTGCAGGGCTGGGGCTAGGCCAGTCTCTAGTCTGCTGAGATTTGAACACAGGACCCCAATTATCTCCTCCTCCCACTGGCCTTTGCTCCCTCAGGGAGGAGGTTGGAGGCCTGGCTTCTGGTGAATTCTGCACAGCCACCATTCACAATGACATCCTACTATGTGCCAGGCATTCTGTGCACACACCTTATTGTGTGTTCCTCGCAAAACCCTGGGAAGTGGATCCTATTTTTATTCCCATTTTACAGATGAAGAAACTGAGGTACAGGTAAAACACTGTAGCCCGAGGTCACAGAGTGAGTAGGGGAATTGGAACTTGAAAGAGGAACTGCAGGAGGCCCTGGGGCAAGCCCAGGAGCCCTGTGGGAGGTGGGCTGAACCTGGGTCCAGGACCCACTCAGGACGTAGGTTTCCCAAAGCAGTTGGTATATCTTCCTGGCCACAAAGCTCAGAAAACCTGCACCCCAAGAGGGCCCACCCCAGGCTCCCACGTGTGCGGGGCAGGTGAGGGGTGATGGGTGACCCTGCCTCCCCTCTGCAAGGCCAGAGGCCAAGGTCAGGGGCATGAGCTCACAGTGTAACTGCAGAAGGAGCCTGTGGAAACT